ACTGGTTGCTTGGCCTTGGAGATGGGCACTTGACGTGTATTACCTGATACTAGATTCATCGTTCCGAAGCAAAGATGCAAGATTCTCCACAGTCACACTAAATCGCCGCCAGAATTATTCTCCGGCCATCGCACGCCGTCTCCCACCCAACATTGTTAATGCCCACCTTTCTTCCTCCCTCGTCTGTTCGGTGAAAGATATAAGAAAACAACAATACAACAACCGTAGCTCACAGATGCAGTTGTTTGACACCACATCATGCAAAGTTAGTTTCGTTGCACCTTTTACTGGTTTATGTTCTCCTTTTTGAGATTTCACAAGTTCATGATTTGCTTGCGGTGGAGATGTTTATGATCAAATGGATCATGAGCTATGGATGGTGTGTGATCTGGCGTGACCATGACATCAACTAGGGTCCGTCCATCATGTGATTATGCATCTCAGCAGTGAGCACTAGTACATTTTCTCTTTGATAAGAAGTCTCACCCAACTTGATTAACAAAACCCAAATAGTTTCACACTACCTTGAGGCAAGCAGATTGTCACAAACTGAGTTCAAATGCTAAACACTGAGCAAAGGTAAAAGAAAACAAAGACTCACTCCCCAATAGTGGAGCACAATCAAAAGATTAACATGCATTCTTCAAATTCTTCAAACATTTTAGGAGATCCACATGAAATTTGAAACTTCATGTTACAACAAACAAGTTGACAAAGTTAGGATATATTTTTTGACATGTAGTACTAATAATGAGGAGTCGACACATTTTCTGTATTTCTCAGTGTTCATACCAAAACTAAAGCTGAAGTTTTATGAAGCTAATAACCTTTTCGGGAGTTTCAAAGAGATCTTGGTCATACTATGGTGCTTGAGCACTCTCACGGAATGAAGCATGGAGGCAGACAGGTACTCCCTCCGTTCCGATTTACTCGTCGTGATTTTAGTTCATTGAACTAAAATCACGACGAGTAAATCGGAACGGAGGGAGTAGAATCTAGGTGTGGTCTTAACTCCACATAAGAAAGAAAAAATAGTGAGGCCATTGTATTGATAACCCACACCCAACGGAAGCAACGTCTCCTTGTGGACCACCTCTCTCTCTCTCCATCATTATCTTTGTTTCATCCATGGCTCGTTCCGGTCTAGTTCTAGGTCTCTCTCGTCTTTTCCCTCCCTTGTTTTTTTGCTTTTCTCAAGCACTTTTCGATGAGGAAGTCGGCTCCTCTGCAAGAACTTGTTTGGCTATACAGGCAGTCGTCTTTTTGCGGTTTATCCTCCATGGCAGTTGCCCCTCAAGCATGCATCTGTGAGGTAGTAGTCCACCTTGGAGCGTAGTACATGCTCTTAAGCAACTCCAATCTGTCCGAAAAAACCTCAAGTACCAAAAAGATTTTGTTTGAAGGGAAAAGACACATCTAACCGATCCCTAAAAGCTTTTTAGTGCCCAACAAGTTTTGTATCAAGCTAAAAGCCAGCCCCTCCGACCTCATATATCAGATCAAACCAACAAATTTTGTTAGTGCCCAAAACACATCCTCTCCTTCTCCCACACTTAATGAAAAATGGGACACGCCTAGTGAGGTGGTTGGAAGATTTTGTTTGGGTATCACTTGTTATTGAGTATGGAAAAAACATTGGGCACTATTTTTTTGATGATGGATTAGGTTACACCATCCCACCCAGGAATTTATTAGAAATTAAGTTTTGGGGATTAGATTAGAGATGCCGTTATACTAGAAGGCATGTGAGTACTAGATTCGACATGTTCCTTTTTTTGGTTGTGCTCTACATGTTAGTGTTTTTCCATCTTCAAAACGAGAACACAAAAAAGACATGTATAAGTAGAGGCATCGCCTAAATTATTAATTCTCAAATTGGCGCAATATTACCAGTATTATGACCAATTTTTTTAAAGAAAGCCTTGACTAAATAGCCGATTATTGCACTAAGAAAACAAGTTTCACATTTACGTAGAACTTTGTTGCTAGTCCTTCCATGGGAATGGATGATGGGAGCCGCCTCGTGATGGGGCTAGGTTTGTGGTCACGATTTTCATGGATCCGAGTGGTTGGGACCTTTGGGTATTTGAGAATCTTTCTAGACATTAAAATAGGTCGAGATTCTTTCCTCTTTTGCGAGAAATAAATCGGAGATTCTTCATGTGTGACGCGGGGAGGGTGACAACTAGTAACGGGGCTGCTCAGACTTCAAGACACGAGGATGGACACTTGACCTACTAGATTCACCGAATCAACCGGCAGGCGCGCTGGATCTTGTTGGTCTATGTCACCTAATAAGAAGAGAGGGGAAATTTGTTGCTGAAATTCTTCGCCGGCCATCGCCCGCCGTCTCCCACCCATTGTTGAAGTCTTTATTGCTCGCTCATTCAGTCATGGGTTAATTTTGTCATTTTCTCTCCCATTTCTCACCCCGACCGCAACCTACCTTCATGGGGCGTCTCTTTCATTATTATTTTTCTTTTTCTTCCTCGTTGTTCCACTCCCCCTCCCCGCAACACTATTTCTGTCAATGGACATCCCACACTAAGTCAAACCCACAACTTGTAGTAATTGATAGTACTAATTGGCTTTCATGTGGTTGCCAAAGTTAGTAATGTTTTTCCCGCGATTCATGTTTCGACAAATGTACATTACCGCATGGAATTCAACCTTCCTGCGGTGTTTAGCAACATCATCTTGTACTAGTCGGTAATATGCCTTTTCCCTCTAAGGTGTGGACCAATAGTCGTTGCTTGTAGTTGCCCTCCCCATATCCATGACTATGAGGAGATGAGGAGGTCGGCATTCTAGACAAATATATCTCGTTGTAAAGAGAATTTTTATGATGCCCCTCTAATAAATTTATATTAATTGTCCATGTTTGTGTCATCCGATGGTAGTACTACTATTACCTCTTGGAAACTAAGATATGGCCAACAATCATGTAGGCTTAATATGGACTTCTATTCAAATAACGAAATAAATTAGTATGTCATTAAGGATGGTGCTCAACTAAGAAATATATCATGCAGAGTGCTAAAGTTTCTATGCCATTTTAATACATGCCACACCCTGGCATTGATTTTTTTGTTTGCGGGGAATAAGTAATTTTGTTCAAGTCTCAGCCTTATAAGAAAATCCAGAAACAAGCAAAAATTACAAGACAATCTCTCAGGATCCCATCATCATCGATGTCTGGGATGAGACGGTGGTGCACCAATGCTCCTCTCTTCTTCAGCTTTGTAACCAGCACCAACCTCTCCTATGGACGAGAAGTTACCAAAGCTATGGTTCCGAACTAGTGCCCTATGAAATAGATACCAGCGCTGAGACCATCACCTGCACCCCCTGAAAAAGGTGGACTATACCCGCCGTCATCACCAGAGACGCCGCCCACATCATCCCAAGACCTAGCACGTGTGCCCCTCCTCCAACACACCTCCTCACCAACACTGCACCGCCGCTAGAGGAGGAGGCAATATGACTATGATGGGGCCAAAGGATGAGATCCCTACCGTGCGTGGTTGTATACATTGTCGTGCTGACCCCTCAGAGGAAACATAACCTCGTTGGATCCGAAGCTCCCCGAGCACCACAAATCGCACGCTCCCCATCGAAGCCCATAAGACAAACACATAGAGGAAGGAGTGGCGACACCCTTATTCACTCCGGCACCACCTCCGTCTCCACAATGATGCCAGCCAAAACCCTAGCTATCCACACCCTATCTACATGCCAGAGCAAAGATCCATGGTTCTCCCACCCTTCCGCCGACGGAGCAAACAACGAAGGGAAGGGAACCCACGGGTTTGCTGACGACCGCGTGGGGAAAACCAAACCACCTTGTAAATATTTTGTGCCCACTAGGATCTAGCTTGGTTGAGAATCAAATTCCGGTGGCCAGGAAGAAACTTTAAACCCCTCCAAAATGCTGGTAGCGGTTACTGTTGACAGTTGTGCCACCGAGAATTCTCGATATTTTGTTTTCATAGAACTTTAATTCTAGCTAATAGAGCAACAAAAATAACCACAGACCAATATGCCAAATGAGTTACTAATCTTTTTTTAAATACTTTATTTATGTATACCTAGAATAAATAGGTGAAGCGCACATTTGTGCTTTACTCCCTATAAATCCAATAAATTTCTCTCTTGGTGGCAACCAAGGGCCCATCCGCAAACAGAGAAGCGTGGAGGGGCCTTCCCGACAGTTTCCGGGCCTCCCCCATTTCCTCCGAACCAGACAACCTCAAAAGCGCAAGGCCTCCGCCGCCTCCGCTCCCCCCTCCACCCCACCCCCACCCACCCCCCATTGCCCCTCCCGTGACCGGCG